GATTCTCTTGCCTCAGCTTCCCAAGTAGCTGGGGATACAGGCACCTGCCACAATGCCTGGCTATTTTTTTGTTGTAATTTTCATTGTTGTTTGGCAAGCCTGCTCCCTTTGTTCAGGTCTCTGCTCAGATGTTGCCTCCTCTGAGGGCTTTCCCTAATCATACTCTTTGGAGCAGCAGTCCTCTGGCAGCTCGCCTGCATCACATGCTAGGACCTAGGCGTGCTTTATTGTTCCCCATAGCACTTTCCACTGTCTGACATTATAGTTGTGTTTCTTATCCCCATTAGAGGGTCAGTCCCATAAGAACAGAGGCATGCATGTCTTGCCCACTAACATTTCCACAGTGAACGTGAATGAACAAATGAAGGAAGGAAGGATTGAGAAAGTGAAACAGCAAGTGAGCAAAGGAAGAAGTAACAGCCTGTAGTCCTCCAGCAGACACCTGCCTAGGCTCCTATTCCTGGGTTATGTATGGCCTAGATGGATCCAGGAGCCTCTCAGCACAGGTGTGCAGGGCAGTAACAGGACCTGGATTAGGACACAGTGCCCCCTGGTGGCCAGAGCTGCAGCTTCCACTGCCTGATTGGACCCACACAGAAATCGCTAGCAAATAGAGAAGCTTGGACCTACACAGAAATTGCTAGCAAACAGAGAAGCTTAGATTTGTAATGAAGGAAAGGACATCATGCTGGGTACCTAGAGTCTCGGGTTCCAATTCTGGCCATGACCCTGACTTACTGGGTAACCTTCAGTATGTCCTGGGATCTGCCAAGCTGGTAAAGACTGAGTGTGGGGCTTGTCACTATGGGGAGGATGGGTCCCTGGTGCAGCCACCCTGACTGGGAGCCTCTGTCTTAACTTGCTCTAAGACATTATCCATCAGGAAGTGCCTGTGTGAGTGAAGCCAAAATCCTCCTCCCCATGTCTCTAATATCCTTCCAGGCTTTGCCTACAGTAGCCATACACACTCTGGAAGAGCACTACAGGGGTGCCCCTTCCCCCAACCTCCCTTCACACGTGGAAACTGGAGATTCCCTTCAGACACCCAGATGTCTAGTATGCAGTTGGATTTCTAAACGTGGAGCTCTGGGGAGAAGTCTGCACTGAAGCTACATCTTTGGAGTCAGTATGTAGATCATCTATGAAACCTGGAGACAGACTGTTGTACTTAGGCCAGTGGTTGTCAACCTTGGATGAATACTACAATTGTCTGGAAGTTGAAAAAACAGACTGATGCCCAGGCTCCACCTAACTACACTGATGAAATCAGACCCCTGGGTGTAGGCCTAGGCATGGGCATTTTGTAAAGGCTTTCAGGTGATTCTTTGTGTAGCCAGGGTTAAGTTTCACTGTGTCTGAGACTAGAACCCCAGGAAGAGATCCCACAGAGAAGACAGGAAGAGACTGGGAAGAGAGATCTGTCAGGTAGGAAGGAAAATCAGGTAAAGACCATGTCTCCAGAAGAGATGTCAGAAGCTGCTGAGAAGTTGAGGGAGTCCAGGTCACTTTTGTTTGGGTGGAACAGGAGGTTAGTGACTCTGATAAGAGTCATGTAAGGAGAGATTGGAGTTAGTTGAGGGAAGAATGGGAGATGAGAAAAGTGGAAATGAGAGTAATCAACAACTCTTGAGGAGTTTCATTGTGAAGAGGAACAGAGAAACAGGGAGGGGGCTAAAGGGAAATATGAGGTCAAGGGAAGGTTTCTTTCTTGCTTTTCCTACAGATGCATGTCACCACACCCAGATCATTAAAAAAAATTTTTTTTGTAGAGTCAGACTCTCACTGTGTTGCCCAGACTGGCCTCAAACTCCTGGGCTCAAGCAATCCTCCCACTACAGCCTCCCAAACTCCAAAATGCTGGGATTAGAGGCATGAACCACTAAGCTCTGGGAAGTTTTCTTTTTTTCTCTCTCCCTCCTTTCCCTCCGTCCTTTCTTCCTTCCTTTTTGACAAAGTCTCACTCTGCTGCCCAGTCTACAGTGCCATGGCATCAGTCTAGCTAATAGCAACCTCAAACTCCTGAGTTCAAGCAATCCTCCTGCCTCAGCCTCCCTACTAACTGGGACTACAGGTATCTGCCACAACACCTGGATAATTTTTCTATTTTTAGTAAAGACGAGATCTTGGTTTTGGTCAGGCTGGTCTCGAACTCCTGAGCTCAAGGGATCTTTCCACCTCAGCCTCCCAGAGTGCTCAGATCACAGGTGTGAGCCACTGCACCCAGCCAAGGGAAGGTTTAGGATGTGAAATTATAGAGAATGTTTGTGGTAGGAAATGATGATGATGATGATGGTGACGATGATGAAGAATGAATGGGTCTAGGAGAGGTGACAGCTCAGTTTGCCAAACTCTGAGATGAGAGAAGGCAGGATATTAGCACATGTTGGGGATAGACATTTCTTCCACTGTAGGGAAGATGCTAGTACACTTGTAGATGTGGTAGTGGGAGGTTGAAGGTGTACACTATTTTGTTTTGTTTTGTTTTGTTTTTTGAGACAGAGTCGCACTATGTCATCCTTGGTAGAGTGCCATGATGTCATAGCTCATAGCAACCTCAAACTCTTGGGGTCAAGCGATTCTCTTGCCTCAGCCTCCCGAGTAGCTGGGATGACAGCTGCCTACTACATGTCTGGCTATTTTTATTTTTATTTTTTTATTTTTATTATTATTTATTTATTTATTTATTTTTTGAGACAGAGCCTCAAGCTGTCCCCCTGGGTAGAGTGCTGTGGCATTACAGCTCACAGCAACCTCCAACTCCTGGGCTCAAGCGAGTCTCCT